ACACACACACATAAGCAAACACACCATTTTTATTACCTTATTAACACACGTGACACAGATAGACATCAACAGCGTGCCCCAGTTAGTTAGAACTCATCCAGGAAGTTAAGATCCCTACAAAACAACCTTCGCCTTAATCTATGTGTAAACACAGTATAAAAGCAGTCTCCGCCCCGCACACACTTTTGAAAAATGTGACACAGTGAGTTGCCGAGCGAGAGCCAATAGGGTTTGTGTCTGTGATAACAGTTCACCAATCTGCACTCGAGGCAGTCACTGATATTACAGTAAAAGCTGTAGACGCTGCCAAAAATTATATATCACCTTCTAAGTTTGTGTTTCAGGTGTGGCAGATGTCGAAACATTACAATTATACTAAACCCCACAATAGACCTAAATAATTCTATGGTTTCAACACAAACGGAGCAGTAAAACTATTATTTTCTGCCTTGTCATTGTTTCTGTTTTTGTTACCTGCCTGAGGACTACGGATGTAAATTTGCATTCTTGCTAACTCCAGCATACTTACATCATTTGTTTTTATATTGATGTTCAATAACATGCTCTGTCCCAAATAAACAAATATCAGCTGATGCAGGACTGAATGCAAATTTTAAATACAATGCAAAGTGGCAAGAAAAACAAACAAATCATGATTCTGTGCTTGTTTTCTTTGAAAAGTTAAAGTCTGATGATAAGATCGATATCGTTCTTATGCATGAGCGCTAAATGTAGAGATACAACCAGGAGTAGGTTAGCTTAGCATAAAGACTGAAAAACAGCTTTGTTTTGTTTGATCTGTACAAAAACCAATGTGTAAAAGTGTGTGATTGGTGTGTAAAATGTCAAACTATTCTTTAAAGGGAGGCAAAGAACATTGATCTTGCTTTAAACATTACACATTATAAAGATATTTACAATGAATTATGTTGTGGTGTTAAAAACGGAGAAGCTCATAAATCTGAGAACCAGGAACCGGTTCACTGTTTCTGATACTTATTTTATTATTCAAGTAGTAAAACTAGGCAAACTCTAAGCTTGCAGTAGTTTCACTTCATTCATTTTTAAATCAGCATCCATTCATTCATTAACTCTGTACAGCACTTCACAAGTCTCTTTCAATCGGTTTTACGGGTGAGGTCTTTGTGAACCACGTTCCTTTCCATGTGAGTGTCTATTGTCTAAAGACTGAAAGGGAGTGTGTTTTCATTCATTGTTTCATAATGTAGGGAGTTGTGAAACCCCTTAAGACTCTGTGATTAAAGCACTACAAATAAACTGGACCTGACTTGAAGATTTACTACCCACTCAGTGGCAATTCTATCAAAGAATCACACCTTTGAGCTTAAACCTGTGTAACAGCTCCTGTAACAACTGTGCACATTTGAACTCATGCATGAGAAACTCAAAAGAAATATTCAAATCAAGATGTAAACATGATAAACTAATCACAGACGATAACAACCCACACAGACTCGTCAGAGAACAGAAATCAGACGAGGACAAAATGAGAGATATAGCGGATCAGCATACGCTCAACTCTGTTATTCAAATATAAAAGCAAAGCATCCAGGTCTGGCTCTGTGCCAACATGCAAATAGCTCCGGGATTTGCTTCTGTCTCCGCTCACATGCAGAGAAAAGAAAGAAAGGCAGCGAGAGGAGAGAAAGGTATGTGCATGGCATACTGAGAGAAAAGTTTGAAAAGTCTCTCAGTCTGAGAAAACACTGGCCATTTCACAGCGACAGAGGAGAGAGTGTGAGAGATAAATGAACTTAGACGGGGCAGCAGAATGGCAATCACAACAAAAGGACAGACAGAGAAAGAAAGAAGAGTACAGTGGAAGGAAAGTGGACTCACTCAGTGGTTGCCAGCCGGTAGCATCTCCCAGCTCTGCTCTGAGCTCCAGCGCCTCTGTGAGTGTGGTATGATGAGTGTGTGTGATGTGAGGGTGTGTAAGAGTGTGCCTTTGTGTGTGTGTGTGGGATCAGCAGTGGTATGCAGGCTCAGCCCTGCTCTGCAGCATTTGTACTGAATAGGAGTGGGACGGACTGACATCACTGCATACATCTTTTTATCTCCCCTCCTTCCTTCTCTCCCCTCCACTTTGTTCTCCTTACACTCCTACAATGCTACAAAGAAATAAAACAACAGCAGTTGGTTAAATACTATCACGTAAAAAAATTTTCTACATCTAAATATTGCTATTGTTTCTAATCTGCTCTCTTGTGGCATTTAGCTGCGTTCAAGGACACTAGGAATTTAATTTCCCCTGACAGGCTCTGTAACCTTTCCGTATGTAGCAGCATAGGAAATGGGAGTTATTCTCAGTCTTTTTCTGTATTTAATTTGATCTGACAGTCTCTGCATAGCTGTGTTTACCCCCTTTCTCTCGTTTTCTTCCTCTAGGAAGTCCTGCTGGCTTTGTTTAAAACCATTAATCACAACACCACATGTGCAGGAAGGAATCGGGATATTTATTCCGCGGGTATTTTCCGTCAACAGGTTGTTGACACACTTAACATGGCAGCAGTCATTGTTTCGTGTTCGCTCTGCTCCCATGGTGCCAAATCAGATGAGTCCAGCTGGATGGTGTAAATGTCAGTCACATGCCTCTGAGTAATTATAGCTAATAACATCATACTAAGTGTATTCAGCTCAAATGGAGATGACTAAACCTGTCTCCTGATTTTCACTGACCTGTCAGGGCGTGACCTATTGGGAGCGTTTACAGTAAATATTAACTGCTCCTTCTTCTCTTGCATTGTGTTTTATTTTGATTCAGAAGGAACTTGATGTTTGGAGTACACATGACGAGTGAAAGTAACAGTATTACTTAAAATATAAATATAATATAAAGTAATTTATCAATAATTTCTTGATGGTTTCTTAGGTAGAAGTTTGTCTTTTGGCACTAATTACCAGAAAAAATACTTAATCCTTGAAAGAAAAAGCAATTTTACAAATGATTTAAAACTTTATTTTCCATATTTGTTGAATTGTACACTGGTCTGTAGGCACATTTCACATTTCTGCATGTGCAACCAACCTTTTGTGCACTGATTAAAATACTTTTTAGGTTACAGTAATTAGCTCACTTATAATTAACACCTGTTTAGAGAGATTTCTTTAGAAAACTTCCTTGTAAATAATTAGTAAATGATGGGCCAGTAAAATAGAACAGTACCAAGTTATGAAGTCAACTAACAGAGTCAGCTGAGCAGTAATGTTAGCAAACATATTGCATATAGCATATTTAATTGAGCAAGCTTTTCATTTGTATGAGTAAAATGTCGTCGTTTGTAATTAGTCCTGCTTCAAGCACCAGGATTTTTGTCGTAAACCTCTTAAAAATAATTCTTCACACAGTAAAATGGTAACATATAAAGGTTTTGTCACAAGTCTATTGCTGTGTTAAATGAAATTTCCTAGACATGAGCACTAGATGAAGCATTATATTACTATAAAAAGTCAAATTTGAAATGTGGATTAATGTATGAATGCAATAGGCCTACATTGTCTTAAAAACATAACTTTGTCTTGTAAAAAAAAAAAAAAAAAAGCTCACGTATAACAAATGCATAATTAAGAAAAAGGTTATTCTAGGAAATCAGCAAAACTTGGAAGAGACTTTCGGTCAGTTCAGTGAGATTTACCCCAAACCTCCCACTTGTTATTATGCAAAATGAAACCACATATGTCATAAGCCAATAGTTTGGTTTCTAGCAAAACCAGTGTTTCAGTGATACCAGACAGCCGTCTGTTTGTCTCTCAGTTTGTCACAGGTATCAGGGCCGAGAGCTCAAGGTCTACACACACACACACACACACCTAAACACAGCTTTGTTCTGCTGCTTTCGTGAGTACATTTACAGAAAATGAGGTCAAGTTGGACAGTTTAGGTTCAGATATGGGGTTAGAAGTTAACTTTAGGCTTAAATTGGGGTTGTTTTATTAGATTGCTGTCTAAGTTTACAGTTTAGGATTTATTTAAGGAATGGTGACTGACTCTAAACCTAAGAAAAAAAACAGTTTTCACTTTGAACTTCCCTTTTCCTTATCTTAATATTAATCCGAGTACAGGTGATTACCAAAAACATGAAAGCAGATAAAGTGCATATATAAGCTAACATACAATCTTTCTTCCTCCTCTACTGGGTAAAGGGTAAGTCTGCAAGAACAATTCAAAACAGTGACTGTACAAAGGACAGGATACACTTCTAATTGGTCAGTTTAAGATAAATATCTGTGTTTGTATCCTTATGTATGTTGTCACTGAATTACCTTGTAAATGTGGTGAATGTTCCTGCACACAGGAACCAGGAAACACGTTTTCACAGGTTCAACAGACTATTGTTCCCTGTCTGACTTACCTTTATATTTACCTGGAATGGCACACCTTGGGAAAGTCCGGACAGTTATCGACTCATTGTAGTCTGAATCCACGTGGAGAGGATTAGACATGTGGTCACATTCAAATGGTAAGTACCGGTATGCGTGCACAGCACCCTCTGCTGGAGGAAGCCAATAAGGTTACCAGTGTTTTGAGGCAAAAGAGCAGTGATTAAAACCTGATTGTGCATGGCCAAATGAAAGGATGTTTGTAGTCACACTCCAAAATAAAGCAGCAATAATTATTTTAATGATTGATTCAGAGCATGTAAACAGTTCTGAGCCATTTTAATGAGGATGATGATACTTTATTTTCAGATCAAGCCTGATTTTGTTCTTGCCTCACAGCAGCTCCATTTTCAACATCTCAGAAAAGACATACATTAGAACAAGAAACAAAGATACATTGAACATAACATTACAAAACACACCAGACCATATTCAGGAACCTTTAACATTTGATCTGAGATAAAGCTCCATATTTAATTTTAGGATTGGCTGGTGCACAAAGGAGTGCTTCACTCTTAACTTTGTTAAATTGTAGAACCCTGTAACAATTTGTATTCACTGTTGAGGACATACATAACATGCATAATAAAATTACATTTGAACTGATAGCCAAAGTCATGTAGCACTTAAGTCTTGTGAATGAAAGTACAGTGTGACAGTATAAGAGTATTATACTATTCTCTAAATAGAAACAGTTATACAGCACAGCGAGTTCTCTGGAAGTCCAAAACTCTAATATTTACCTCACTGTGACATTTGCTGGTTATTGTTTTATGATGCATGAGACATCTGATGATGACTGTGTGCTTGGTGGTTTGATGAATGTCACTGGAGTTTCATTTGTTATGGAAGTTGAGTTGATTTTTCATTTTGGGGTTAGCTATTCCTTTAAAACCGTCCTTATTTGTGTTTCTTTTGCTATAATGCCAACCTTACAGCCCCTTTGCAGGTTAATCCAGCTCTGCTCGTCCATTTTTAGGGACATTCGCCATAAATGCTCAGTCAACATTTTCCATGACCTTTTTGGCCTCTAATATTGAACATGCATCAAAAGACAGAAATTAAGCCGAGGAATCCAATAAGTCTCTGTTCTCTGCTGAGACCGAATCTGCATAATATTGTTCCAGTGTCTCCTGTTTTTAATTTACTGTACTTCTGAATATAATACAAAGACTAGAATTACAATACGCCTCAAGTGACACCGACTGCACTTTCTCTTTTAACCACAAGATTCCCATCATGCTTTTGGGGGGCCTTGTTCGACAACATGGTTAGGCAGATTTTCCACGGTAAAACTATTGGTATTCCAACATGTTCTCCCCTCAACCACCCCATGTTTAATGCATGGACCCCACAGACATGGAGCCTGCTTTGTGAAGAGGATGTGCATTAGCATGGATTCACATGAGGGATGTATGTGGTTAAACAGACTGCAAAAAGAAAGTATTGCTTTAGTCCCTAAAGTAATTTAACTGGCAGGACAAGCTGTGGCAGAGCACACACCCTTGGGTGGTTGCTGTAACGTAATGTGCTACCATGATACTGTATGTTGACAATTTTTGCACAATTTGAGTTTGAAAAGAGTTTGCAGGTGACTTTAACATCGTTACACCTCAGACAGTGCTGCTATCAGACACATACAGTGATATAAACATCCACTGAAGATATTAATGTACTAATACTCCTGAATTATATTCAAAGAAAATCTTACTGTGTATCAGGTTTTGTATGGATTACAGATGGAAGTCGTGCATTGTGTGTGGGTGTCAGCAGGGGAGCTGATTACATGATATGGCTGAACAAAGTATCTGTAAACATAAAGGAGCAGTCTATAAAATTAAAGTAGCATGAATTGACTTCTTGGATATGGGGGTATTGTAACAAGCTGACACAACTGTGACATATTATTAAATTATAAAGTTGACAGCTGATGCCCACTGCCACTGAAAACAAGGTTGACGAAAGCTGTGAAAATGAACTGAAGCAGTAACGTTTTAGGCTGTAAAACCAAACAGTGAGCTGAGCAACACTAACAAGCTTCATAGAGCTGAAAGAGAGAGAAAAACCTGTACACTATTTAATATTACACAGTCATTTGTTCTATTGTTAATATTAAAACATTGATTTGTACAGATTTAATTTACAGACATTTGTTGTTCCTTTAAGAAAATACTGGATATCATGTGAAACAAAAGCATTGATAGAAAGTGGAAATGTCATTACTATCAGTAGAAATATGTATAGTATACTGGCCTAAAGCTGGCATGTTAGCTAGCGGCCACCAGGCTCAAAGAGGAATACAGACAACACTGTAGAAACTGTCAAATTTACAGCTGAGGCCATGTTTCTGAGATGTAAAGTGACAGTAATATCATTGTGACTCTTAAATACACACAACACACAATGCTGTTATGCAAAAGCTGTATGATAATTTGCTGAACTTGTTTTTTGAGTGTCATTTCCTCTGACTCCATTAACGGACCAGCATGTAGGATTTAGTGGCGTCAAGCTGTGTAGTTGTGGATTGCAATTAACTTCACCCTCCCCTTCTAAGCGTTCAGGAGAAACTGTGGTGACCACAAAGTGCTGCGAAAAAATGCAAACGGCCCTATTCAGAGCTAATGTTTGGTTTGTCTGTCCTGCTATTGTAGAAACATGGCGGTTCAACATGGCAGTCTGTATGAAAGGCGATTTGCAGTGCCTGTAGATATAAAAGAGTCACTAATGGAAACATAGTTATGCATATTATATTACATTTGTGCCAATAGATCCTCCTAAATGTTACAACTAGACATACTGTATCTGTTGTCATGCCTCCCCTAAAATATTGTCTGTGTGTGTTTTCAGCAGCACAGACGCTACTGAATGATGATAGAAATGTTATAGGAGTACTACAGGCAGCAGTGCTTCTCTGTGATCTTCTCGCTCTTCCACGATTACAAGTTGCTACTCGTTACTTCAATCATTAAGGTGACACTAATCCATAATGCTGAGGCTGTTATTTATATTCTGCTTATAGCATATAGTTTAGAGAATATTACCAATCCGATGATGGGAGCAAGAGAAAAAGATGCAGTAACAAATCCATCTGCTACTTCAGCACCACAGACAGGACTGTGGATTTATGGATACACAGCACATTTAGGTTGCTGATATTTCAGAGCCGTGTTCGGGGCCACAGATTCTAACTTGCACAAACCTCAGTCAGATAAAAGATCAATGAGTCAGGCAGGCAAGACAAAAACATATTCAGCTAAACACCTGCACTGTCTCTGCTACTAGGGGATGGAGAAGTGGGATTGCATCCCCCGACTTCCCCCTCTCAAATCTCCTACTGCCAGTAAGACTAGTGAGCCCTCTCACCAGACAAAGGGTCATGTGCCAGAGAGGGAACTTAGCACAGAGGTAAGAATTTGACGCCTTGTAGTTCTCGTCTACCCTATAAGGAAGGTGTGCTCCTTTAGCCCAGTGCACAGAGATGTTACACTGACAGGACTGAGGGTCTAATTCCCAGCACACACAAAAAAACTGGATACAACTCTGCTATAAGGTGGTTCACATACTGTAAATGGC